ACCGGTAATTTTGGTTCTAAAGCGGAATAAAAAAATCTTTGGTTTTTCCTACCAAAATTGGACAAAATTATTTTAAACTATGAACCAACATTTCAAATGTTCAATTCAAAACACGTTTGAACCCAGGACCAAGTCTCTCAAGTAAGCCAAATAAGACACATCATAAATCATAGTCTCAAGTTCAAGAGCTTTCAAAGAGTCTCTTTAGTATTTGATGACATTCTTGAAGATCCAAGTGCATTCAAGTTGAAAATCAGCGTTCAACCCGGGACCAAGTCTCTTAAGTACGCTCAGTAGAAAAGAAGGCCAAGAAGAAGAAACAGAGGTGGTGGTTCTTCTCCAATAAATAAAACAACGGCATCCACTTCTTTGAAGTCTAATCGAAAAGGATCAACGATGTTCAAACGACATTTAAGTCGTGTTCGTTGAGACAATTCATATTCAAGTTCAAAGCTCTAGAGAAGAATTCTCTCTATGAGATTCAAGTGTTTTTTAAGATCCAAAGGTATTTATGAAGATTCCAAGGAAGATTCAAGCGCGTTCAAAGCTCAAGACCGGCGTTCAATCCAAAATCACGTTTCATAAAATTTATTGTTACAAGTTTGACACGCCTGGTGGACGATCTGTACCTCTTATCTCTTTTCTTCAAATCAAGTTCCAAAATTTTTTATGATGCATGAAGACCTATTTGAAGAAAATGTACGAGAAAGCAAGGATGATGTCTCCTCAAGCCATGAAGACGCCGAAAATCGTTGACTTCATCAAATTCGTCCAAATGGAAGCAAACAAAAGAGGCTCTATATGTCCTTCTCAAAGCAAATTCAATGGGGGAAATTTACATGAAGAGTTTCATCAAATCCTTAAATTCAAATGTTCCTTGATATGAGCCAAAACTATCTACAAATTCAAATGTTCCTTGATATTAGTCGAAACTGTTTACAAATTCAAATGCTCCTTGATATGATCCAAAACTATTTATAAAGCTCCTGGGTGTGAGTCGAAACTATCCAAAAATAAAATTTAAATGCTCCTTGATATGAGTTTGAACTATCTACAATGCTCTTTGATATGAGTGTAAACCATCAACAATGCTCTTTGATACGAGCCTTAACTATCTACAAGTCTCCTTGACACGAGCATAAAATGTCTACAAGGCTCCTTGACACGGATATAAAATGTGTACAAGGCTCCTAGAAACGAGCATAAAATGTCTACAAATTTGAAGGCTCCTTGATACGAGCATAAAAGTCTCTACAAATTTGAAAACTCCTTGACACGAGTATAAATTGTCTATAAATCAAGGAGTTCTTGATACAAGTACAAACAATCTGTCAATTCAAATTAAGACTCATCGATACGAGTATAAACTATCTACAAATTAAGTTAAATGAAGAACTCCTTAATACGTATGAACTATCTACTAATCAAGTTAAATGAAGAATTATTTGATACGAGCCTAAACTATCTACAAATCCAAGTCGAATAACTCCCATACAAGAGTTTAAACTATCTGCATGTCTCAACCAAATCCAAAATTTTGAGACTCGTTCACTACCAAGATATTATGTCCGTGAACAAGTCTCAAGGAGGCATTTGTAGCCATCGAAATTTAAGTATTTTATTAATTAATATTTTTATTTATTTTGTGACATAAATCTAAGATAAATAAGATATATGATTAATAAAGTAAATATTTCTTGCCCACCAAGTCAAATCTTATAATAAAGAAAGAGATTACATCAAATCAGGAAGAACCAATCAAATAGATGTCTCCTTCCCTAAGACTCTTTTTCCTACACATATAAATATGGGCTCTCCCAAAGCCAAAAAAGACACCTCATAAATCAAAATATCAACTTCCAGGACTCTGAAGAACTCTCTTGAAGATTTGAAGACGTTTCTTAAGATCCAAGGGCATTTACGTTGAAGATCGGCGTTCAATCCGCAACCAAGTATTTGAACCACCGAAGTAAGTTCAATGAAAAAGAAGGCCAAGAAAAAGAAAAAGAGGCGACAACTCTTTTTCAAGAAGTAAAGAGAGGACATCCACTCATCTCAAATCAATCCAAGAACATCAATGACGTTTTAAACAACATTCAAGCGCATTCGATGAGAAGTTCAACCAACATAACGTTTGATCTGGGAAAAAAAAAATTGTCAAACCTTCAACTCAACGTTATGCAACTCCAAATCTATATTTGAAGATCCAAATCCAAGAAGAAAAAAATTAAAGATAAATAAATATTGCACCCACACTATCGTTTAATTGAAATAAAATAAAATTATACAAAAAATTATGTTTTTTATAAAATTCATTATTACAATTTATATTTTCGTTCATAAATTAAAGATGTGTAAAAGTATTAAAATTAAAATATTCAGTGCAAAACAATCATAACAAAACCAAAACATTCCAAACAAAAATATAAATATTCGTCTACTCTTAGCTCATAAATCCTTAATAAATCTAAGTAGATCTACATATTTTTCAAATAATATGTTCCAGATTTTTTTAAATGGCACATTTATAAATAACATAAGTTCTATGACGCCTGAATATAATTTGAGGAAATTAACATACAACTTCAATGAAATTAAGTAGAGTTGTATAGAAATTGTTATGCTATAAAACAATTCATTTATTAAAACAAATTTTCTCAATATCCTTCTGATAAAATCTTATGGCTAATAGTA